CCGGGCCGGGGGCGGCGGCGGCGGCGAGGGGAGCGGGCGGAGGCCTGGCGGCCGGGCAGGGACGCCATGGCGGCGGCCGAGACGAAGATCATCTACCACCTGGACGAGCAGGAGACGCCGTACCTGGTGAAGCTGCCGATCCCGGCCGAGCGCGTCACCCTCGGCGACTTCAAGGGCCTCCTCAACCGCCCCAACTACAAGTTCTACTTCAAGTCCATGGACGACGACTTCGGGTGAGCGCGGACCCGGGCCCGGCCCGCCCGGTGAGGGGGCGGTGGGAGCCCCTCGTGTCCCCGCGGGGGGGAGTGGGCTATCGCGGGCCCCGGGAGGCGTGGGGTTCCCGCGGGGGGGACGGGACGGGCTGGGGACAGCCGCCCCGCACGGCGCCGGGGCTGGGGTCGCCCCCGGAGGGGTCTGTCCCCCCGCCCGAGGGTCGCTCCCCCCCGTGCGCCATCTTCGGGCAGCGCCCGGCCCCAGGGGCATCTCCCGGCGCAGCCGCCCGGGGGGGGGTCGGGGGGCGCTACCCCCGCCTGTCCCGCTCGGAATTGTCACCCCGAACCCGCAGGGCCTGGGCATCCCCCGCGGGGCGGCCGGGGAGGGTGCCCCGCGTTCCCCCCGCCAGCAGGGTGCGGGGCAGAGCCCCCTCCGTCAGCCCGTCCCAGGGAGCGATTTGGGGACAGTTTCCTTCTCCAATCATCCATTTTGGGGAGGGCCATCCATTTTGGCATTTTGGCTGCCTCTGTGGAGAAGGGTCGAGAGCTCTCCACGTGCTGTGGCGAGACCTGCTGTGCCCGCCGACACGTCCCCCCTGGGGGTACGGTGTCCCCTGCCCCATCGCAGGGAGGGGTCTGTGCGGAGGAGGAGTGCAGCCCGCCTCGCATCCCATCTCCAGGGCAGCTCTCTCCCAGCGCCGCCGGTTTTGTCACTTCTTTTGTGATACCCTTTGGCTCCTTCCATCGCGTGGGGCTGTTTGGAGGTGAGGGGGTGCATTCTGTCCCTTGTTTGGACAGTTGTACTAACTGATCTGAGGAGCCTCTGCTGTCTGGGGTAACTGTAAACTTGGTGACTGTTCTGGGGAGCAAGCACCACATAAAGCCAACTCTCTGTAAGACCCTTTGTCCGGAGTCTTCCTACATTTGACTCTCCTCTAGCCTTTTTGAGGACTTCTCTTTCCATCCTGGAAACTTCGCTTCTCTTGGCTTCCACAACATGTGACCCTCTACTATTCCTAGCACTTTGGTATTTGAAAGAGTTGCATGATTCTCGTTCCTCTGGACGTTTTTCCCCCCACTCTGAAGACTTGGTGTTTACAGTAGGTCTTGTGTATGGAGGCTGGGGCTGCAAAAAGCATTCAGTTTTATAGTCTTCCTGTGTCTTCTTACTGTGCTGGATTGCCTCCCTGGGCCGTGATCCTGGCTCCTACCCTGCCTTGAACAGGGCTGGGCCTGTTCGGGGCTTGGATGGGGATCGGTGTGGCTGCCTCGGCAGGAGGTGCTCTCCCCTCTGCAGCCAAATTATCCTTATGTCCAGGTTCCCGTTAGCTCGGGAGGTGCCAGGTTTCAGATGAGGCTTGAAATTTGGAGTCACTCCTTTGACCACAGTCTGGGATGCTTTGCCTCCCTAAATGCCTCCTGACCCAGCGGAGAGCTCGAGTGCTTAGAAGCTTCCCCGTTCTTTCCAGGCAAACAGAAGTCTCCAGCCCTCATTTTCCATAAATTTCCTTAACAATATCAGTTGTCTGCGGATGGTTTTCCTGTCCCTCAGCTGTTGAGTGGCGTTGGGTGCTACAGAGCAGCTGCCTCTCCCCGTCCTGGAGGGGGGACCCTGTTCATTGGTGGGAGAAGCGAATTCTCCCTGCGTGCTGTTTGTAAACAAATGCTTTGGGATCCTTTGAAATGTTGTTCTTGAAGAGAATTCAAGCTTGTCTTGAATGAAACATTGCCATGTGGGTGGGAGAGTGTCTGCATAACTATAAACAAAGCTTAGTAATAAATAGCAGTGTTTTGCGTTGGGAAGAGGGGTCTGGTGGCAGCAAAGTTCTGTGCTGTGCCTTTTCATCCTCCTCTGTTTCTTTAAGGCTCCACAAGAGGAGGCAAATGGCAGATTAACGCAACTCAATGATAAAGCAGCGTAGGGAGCTGTGGATGTGAGCAGGGAGAGGGGAAAAGCACTCGGGAAGATGCAGTGAGTTTAGTTGCGTCAGAAGTGCATGGGGTGAGATTTTTGTTGGGACCAGTTCAGCTAATTCTCCTGGGAAGAGTGAAGCTCTCTGGAAGGGACGGTGCAGCAGAGAGGGGTCGGAGGCTGCATGTGGGCACCCGGTCCTGGGCTGTGCATGGAGCTGTGCCGCTGGAGCAGAGTGTGATGAGGCCTCGTGTGGAACAGAGGGGAGAATGCTTCTTGTGGTGCCACTATGGATGATCCACCAGGAAAGCTGTCTTTGCTCCTTTCCAGAGAGCTGGAGAATGTGCTGGTGGCTGGCTGGAGCACAACAGGGAGCAGACAGAGTGGTCCAGCTGCAGCCTCAGCCCTGAGAAGCCCTGGAGCCCCAGGCACCGCTTCAAGTAAAATCATAGAATTGTAGAATAGTTTCAGTTGGAAAAGAGCTTTAAGATTGTAAAGTCCAACTGAAATATTTCATGATCCCTGGTAACTGGTGTCCAGGAGAGAGCAAGCCATTGATTTGCAGTGAGAGACAGGGATGGAAGGGCAAGAAGCATCTCAGCTGCTTGGCTGTAAATGCATAGGCAATTAGCGAAAATCAGGAGGACATTAATGATGGCTGTATTTGGAAGCTGTGTGCCAGGGAAGGGCGTTAACGCTCAGTCATGTATCCCTCAAGATGCCCTCTGCACATCATGGGGGATGGCCGGGCTCGTGCTGATGGTGACTGAGCTGGTTTCAGTCAGTCGGGCAATGTCCAGAAGCAGGACTTGGGGTAAAGCCCCTTCATGGAAGAGATGAGCTATTAACAGTGGATGGCTTTAGGGCATCTGATCGACGAGAAGGGTACCTGCAGATCTGATGGCTCATCCTTTTCATCAGCATTTGGACCTTTTGCAGGATCCCTGTGGCATAACACTAAGTTCTATTCTCATCTCTCGTTGGCAACAGAGGCATCTCACCTTCTAGGGTAGCAAGGAGTGAGATGTGGTCCAATGTTTCCTCTCACCTCTGTTGCTCAGACTGAATCTGTTTCTCCCTCTTCCCATGCTGTGGATCTCCAGCCTGGCATTCCCTTCAGCTCACCTCATCCCCAAGGCAGTATTACAGCCGCAGTCTTGGTGTGTGGGATTTTTCATTCTTTTGTTTATCTTGTTAATATTTGTTTGCTCTGAGAATCAGGGCAGTGATGGAGCAGCTTCAGTGTTTACATCTCCTTGGAAATGTGAACAGAGGCTCCCCTGGGTGGTTGTGGAGTTGTCGGGCTCTGCCAGGAGCTAATCCTAGTCAAAGTGCTCAGCTCCAGATTAAGAAGACCCCAGAATGGTGTCAGTTCTAGGTGGGAAGGAGGAGAATTGGGAAGATTTCGTGCATCTGATCCTGGGGAGAGGAGCTGTGAGCACCAGGAAGGCTGCAGGGTTTTGTTGCCTGGTCTACCCAGCATGTAGTGGGCTACACCCGTAACTAGAGAATCCATCCTGAGCCCAGTGGTGCAGAGCAGCGACACAGGGTGCAGATATTTGTGCCCTTGTTTGCGTTGTTACTGCTAATCCCAGAACTGGAGCAGCTCAGCGGACGGGTGGTGGAAGCATGGCAGTGCATAGATGTGGTACAGTCTTCTCGGGGCTGAGATACCTTGTGTTGGATGCGCCTTACTGTGAAGTGTGGAGCTACTCTTTGCCTGCTAACCTTGCCCTCATTAGAGAAGAAAGGGGTTTTTTTTTGTTTTGGTTTTGTTGTTGTGTTTTTTTTTCCCTCTACAGCTTTAGTCTTTTTTATTCAGCCTTTTACAGGTAAGATCGGTGTGCTGGTCAGCAGGAAAGAGCCGTAGGTCAGTGCAATGCTATCGCTGCTCGTGAGGTCCATGTTCTTCATCAAGTTACATGCAGGTTTTTCATGGAGTTTTGAACCGACTTTTTACTTTGTCATCTTTGCTCCTAATCTGCGAAATGGAAATTGCGACAGTGCCCCTTGATCCTTGTCTTGTCCACTTGACACTGTGAGCTTCTTGGGCAAATATGTCTGTGGATCCTTGCATGAGAGAGCTCTCAGTTCTGTAGTGCTGCTGCAAGAACAGTACTGTAAATTCTTCTGGGGACCTGTGTAGTTGGGAACTGGTGGTCTCTGATAGTTTGTAATTTGCTGGGATGTGGGCTTCAGCAATGTGCAAAGTGTTGCCTCCTGCCCAAGTCCATCGTGAGAAAGGTACCTGTCTCTGGGCAGTGTGGATCTTTTCACCAGCCAGATTGTGTCCCTCTTTGCCCCAGACGAACTACAGGTTTGGCTTTTCATCTGGCCATGTGACTGGTACAACTCTGAGGATACTCACGTTAATTGAAATGTGGTTTCTTTTGACTCATTTTTTGCTTGTAATCGATGCTGCTCATTTTCTCACAGGGGTATACTAAAGTTTAAATGCAACTTTTCAAAGCAGTTTCAGTTACATGAGTTCGATTTGTGCATTCAGGTAAGTCCTTAGCACCTGGCCTGAAGTTCTGTCTCGTCCTTCCATAAATTCTGGAGTGCCTGAAAGTTTGAATTTCTTCTGCATGTGGAGAAAGCACTTGGTCGATCATTTTGCTTATCTCCACTCGGCCACCTTTCCTATTCCAGGCTGGAGAGCAGAAAGGTCTGCTGCTTCTGCAAGGGGACCGCCCCTTCTTCCCATCTAACCTGCTTGTTCTGCATCACCAGGAGGACACCAGCGATTTGAGGTGCAGTGGTGGGACGGTGATGCTCCTCCCACCGCTGCTGCTTTCTCCCTCCTGCAGGTCTCCATTCCAGTTTTAACTTTGGAGCTGTGGTGAGTGATTCCTAGGTCTTGACTGTCAAGTGAAAATTGGTATCCAACTAATCACTAGCCCGGTATCTAATCCAGACCTGCTTAATTATCACCTGCTCTCCAAAGCTGGGTGCAAGACAGTGATTAGGGCAACGCTCTGGAGGCAGAACAAAGCGGGTGCTGCTGGAATTCCCAGTGCAGGGGTCAGATGCCGTTCATATTTGGCGACCTCATCTCCTGCACATGTGCTTGGGGAAACATGTTGACACTCACTGAAAGGGTGAGTGA